AAGGAGAAAAGAGCAACTCCTTCGTTGAGAAGGTAGTGTTGCCTCTCTGTCCCTGAAATAATTTTCCAGGGTTTTTCAGGACCTTTTTAGCCACTACAGAGACAAGTTTTGACGTCACACAGAAATACATCCCTCTGTCTCCCCTCGTCCTCTGGGAGTGCTCTTTTCTACAGCAGTATCTCACATTTGCCCAGACTGTTTCTATGTTTATTATGCTGACATTTGATCTGCAGTCTACGGCTATTATTTATTTACAGTATGAAAAATAATTTTGACAAATGTATCTTAATAAATATCAAAATAAAAGGTTTACTCTGCAGTGTGGCCAATTTTAAACCAAAGCATTGTCATTCTAATATAAAAGTTCCTCAGTTATTCTACCTTCCTCACTACGTCCTGAGGCTTTTTCAGAGCTTTCAGCTCAGGGCTGGGCCTTAATGTGGGCCAGAAGATAAGGTGACAAGAGACACACAAGGCAGAGGGAGGATAAATATTATAAAACGTAACCATTCCCAGGACATTTGACCTTTCTTTCCTCTTATTTTCCTTATGTTTTCCATGAGCCATCAGGTTTTTCAGGTTTTCCAGGATGTGCGGGAACCTCTTAAAACCATCTAAAGCTACGCAAACAACACCACAGCTAGCAAACAATTAGATATCCCAGCTCAAAAAAAGACAAAGAGTTCAAGCTAATATAGGTGCATACCACAAATGAGTGGAAACACATTCATTACATGTAAAACATATAGTAAAATAATTAGTAAAAGATAAGGAGAAGTGGCTAAAGAAGGGCTACCTCAAACTGTGAAAAAGCTAAGGGTCACTCCTAAAGGAAAGAAAACAACAACAAACATTTGAAAAGTGTCTTCAGAGTCTAACCATTAATGATGAAAGTTGAATTATGACAGAGAGATTATTACCTGGACGACCAGTGTTTAATTGTGACAAACCTGGGGTGGAGTTGGAGCAGGACCCAGGCTCATCTGGGTCTGAACGGCACACACCGGCTGGACTCTGACTGCAGGCCTGTGGTATTCAGGGCTGGAGGTGACGGTGCTGTAGGCAGGAGGACCTGCTGCAGTTTGTCTCTGGAGGAGCTGCAAAATGGCCTGGATGTCTGAGGTCATCTGGGACTCCAGCCTACATTACAGACAAGTGGTTTTTGTTTTGGTTGTTAGATCTCACAGCAGAGTCACACGCTAGCTGAGGCTCAGGGAAACATCTGGAATAATGCACCTCTTAAATCTGGGAAAGGTTTACAGGGCCTTTGGAGCAGACACAATTCCAATGTCAATTCCAAACATGGAAGGTCCGTTCTTATAAAACTCATGGTTATGGTAAGGATTAGGATTACATACTGTATCTGTTTTAAAAGCTATAACACCATAGCTACGAAACAGCGGTAGATAAAAACTTACAAACATTTCTTATATTCATTTTAAAAAAATAAAACAAATGAATTAACTACATCGATTTAAATAAAATTAGTTCAGATAAGATAAAAGAAAAGAAACACGGCAACTAAAACGCTAACACTTTGTTTAATGATTTATGATTTTGTTTTGTTTGTAACTTCTCTACGTGGCTTAGTGGAACGATGCTTGAGTTGGCAGGCAGTATTAAAATCAAACACTAGAGGGAGACTCTCACCTGTTACTTTTATTAACAGGCAAGACCTTCAATCGATTCACTCGAGTTTTAGTCAAACTAACGAACTTTCTCTGGTCATTGTTTAAAATATTTCCAGTTAAATACATTTACAACCCTCCAGGACTATAGCCTAATAAAAACGGCCCCGGTTCACTGATTTGTAACAAGGAATTAAAAAGAAGCTGATTCGTCCCCACTCATAAAGACTGTCCCCTCTGTAGGGTTTATTACTATTGTAAAATCTGTCGTAAAATTACAACGTCTGTGAGAAATTGGCCAACAACAAGTTGTAAAAAAATAAAATGCTGAGACGAGACATCTTTTACTTAGCTTGGTACAGTTAAAACAGCTAACATTAGCAACATTAATATAATATAATATAATATAATATAATATAATATAATATAATATAATATAATATAATATAATATAATATAATATAATAATATAAAGATGAATCAAATGGTTAATTATTCTTGGATTAAATTAATTTAATCATAATTAATCAGGACGATGTATTGACTATGTATTAAATCAACAATAAAGGAATGGACAGTGGAGTTATTGAAATAAAATGTGTTCATTATTTTCACAATTGATTATTTTCAATTGATTAATGTGATAACCATGTTAATTTCATTAGCAAATATGATATGTCATGTGAATACAATTAGCGAACAAAAGCTGATGTTTGACATACAATTATTTTACATTAAACTGGCCTAAGGCTAAAATGTAATAATGTTATAGCACATATCTAGTCCAGAGTTAGCCATAAATGTAAGCATTAAACAACTGAAATGTCTGCTATGAGATTACTACACCATCATACTATGGTAGCAACACAAAAAACGTTCTTGAACGTACAACTGAGAATGCACTAAAAACAAATCCAAAAAAAACATTCACTGTATTGAATGAGACGAACCCACAGATGCTGCAATCTTTTACAATTATCAAAGGAAAACTGTAATATCATTTGCTGAGTTTTATGTTGACAGATGTGAGCCCCTGTTGGACCATAACGTGCTGCTGCAGGTTTGTGTGTGGCCAAGACTGATATTGGCTAAATGAATATAATTCAGTTCTAACGATCGTGACCAACATCCACACCTCACCTGTTGAGGTGCTGCTGCAGCAGGTCAAGGCGCTGCTCCACCTCTCCATAGGTGAGGTCAGTGTCACTGTCGTCCCCAGCTGGAGTCTCCTGACACTGGACCGTCTCCTCCGTGTCCTCTCTGGGAGGCTGCTGTTCCCACCCATCTGCGTGATGCCCTGGAAGAAGACAACTCAGTCAGAACTGCCTCACATACTCATGACTTGGCCTCACCAGAATCTGACCACTGATCACTCTCTCCTGGAGCTCGACCTCTGTTTGACTTTACTGTGGATAAAGATGGCATTTGTGCTGTGTGGCTCTCTACAGTACAGGGATCAATAACCACTCTGCTCTTTGCTGTGCCTGAAATCCTATTAAGACTGCAGCAGAATTATGGGATGTCACTATCAGATCAGTGTGCTCAGTGTCCCACCTCAGTGTACACATGCACGGTTTAAAACGAAATCCCGTGGTTATTGCTGCGCTTCTCAGGATGAGTTTAAAGGGATTTAAACTGACGGCTCAGTGGCTGCATGTGGGTTTTGGGATATGAAGTCAAGCTGTGGATGTGAAACTGATGTCACGGGCGGGAAGACATGTAAAAAACAAATCTTGTCTTTTAATAGGTAATAACTTCTAAAGGGAAGTAGCACACAAAACTACCACGTCCTCCGCCATCAAAACTCAAGGTGGGATTAGAAACCCACTGGAAAGACATTCAACCACTTCAAACAATCAACCTGAAGGTGATCCGTGGCAGAAAACATTATTAAAAAAAATTATTAAGAGAAAAACCCCCTCAGCAGAGCAACGAAGGTAATAACAGGAAATTCAAATCAACCTTTAATTTGGTTTTATGCTGCTCTCCCATCAATACCTGTAGCACACACAGGTCTCAGCTTTATTGCCTGTGATATATTTTGTTCCGCACTATAACTATAATTTCTATTTTAATTGTTGTTAAATGTTTGCGCAAAGTTTAACTTTAAATTCCACGTTTTTACACCTTTAAAAGTTGTGCTGCTGAGAGGTCTCCATTTTAAAATACTGTTAAAAGTTGCATGAGGTTAAAGTTTAAACAAAGTATAACAGAGTTTTATTATTCAGTTCAAACAGGATGTGTTTTTAACAGGGATAGCTGAACACAACTTTTTCATGTCCAGTACTAATACCAATACTGCTAACTTGGAGTATCTGCCAACACTGATATCAATCTGATACGTATTCTCCTCCAGCAGGCTGCTGTCTCTGAGCCAATAGCGTCCCTGTTTATGGTTTTGGAGTTAGGGATCAGATTAGACAGGCTAGAGATCCCGATAATAATAATAATAATAATAATAATAATAATAATAATAATACTTTAACCAAAAGTCACGTCGACTAATTTGACAAAAATTCCGAAGTTGAGTCGGTGAGTAATTTAATGACATCATATTCACAGAGTAAGAAATACAGAAATATGTCCAGCAGTGACTTTTGCTATTGGAGAGAACACAGCAGTCAGTTGTTTATCCCTTTGTTATTGTCATAATAAGTCATAAAAGTTCAATATTTTAGAGATAAAAAATTGACTTATTCGTCTACAACAGTGCAGAGAAGCTCCTGTGAAAGGAAATAAGGCAGATGTTTCCATTATTACCTGCGTACTCTCCTGTGTTCTGTGTCTGTCCATCAGGGGCGCTGCTCACCCCATTGCCCAGGGAGTGGTCCCTGACGACCGGGTAGCCCAGCACACTAGAACACAAAGGCCTCTGTTCCTCTTCCTCTCCGTCCTCGTCCTCCTCCTCCGGGTCCTGTGTCTCCCTGGCTGACTCTCTCCTCCCCGTTGGTCCGCTGTCACCGTAGGCGGCCACCGGCTCGTTGTTTTGGGAAGCTACAGGGAGAATGAATGGTTATTAGGAAATCTGCTGAGGGAACACTGGCTCCTGATCTGACTTCCACCGGGGACGTCTGGTGATATACAGTTCTTCTAACAAGTCAGACATAACCAGTGCTTGGTAAACAGAATGGAAGGCTGCCCAGAGAGCTCACAGCACCTACTAACTCTGAGAGTAAAACAATTACAAAACCCACAGCAGTGATAAAAGTCAGTCTAGGAAACATTTTTCTACTTTCTACTATTGCTGTTTCTACTGAAGTGGTTCTGAATTAAATACTGATGTATTCTATTTTACCTTCAGGACAGTTTAAAACTACAATCTGCTGATGTGTTGTTGCTAATTATTATGGGTGATATTTCTGCCAATGTCATTCTCTGTCCAAGAGCTTTAATTACTACTAACTGTTGAATAATAAAACTACAAATGTCCTAATTATAAAAATGAAGTAGCAGTATACATCCAGGTGTTGCAGAAAAATCTAAACAAAAGGGTTAATTAAGTTAACGTGCAGTAATTATAACACTGAATGTGGTTGATGGTCTTATAGAGACTATCATTACTTTTTAAATGCAGTAATTATAACACTGAATGTGGTTCAAAATCATTACTTTTAAAGTAAATATTTATGAGGCACTGATATCAAGGTGGGAGCACAGGGTTGTGCTTGGTTCAGTCAGGGAGAAGGCAGGTTTTTCATTGATCTGACAGATGTGTGAGCTTTTGACAATGTTTGAGGGAACTGTAAATAAAATCATGAGAGCTACAGCAGGAACCTCACACTGGTGAGGCTCCTACACCCTGAAGACAGTGTGCCTGTCCAGCAGCACTTCCTGCCTGACAGATGGAAGCAGCAGGACGATGAAAGTGGCCTCCAGCTAGAATCTGTGCCATCACTCACTATGAGCTGATGCTTCTGTATTCACCAGGCCAGCAATCACAGTCACCAATTAGTCCTGCCTGAGTTGAAGGTAAAACGCTGAGCACTGCTGTTGCTGTTGGTGCACTCTGTCTCTTTGTCCCAACTCATCCTGACTGTTACCAGGCAAATTACAACAAGAGCTCAGATCTGATGTTGATGTTTATCTGTGCTGATATAAAGGCTTAAAACAAATTCTAATGCATATTGATAGTGAATTTGAAAGCATACTGACGGCAGCAGAAGTGTGTGTGTGTGTGTGTGTGTGTGGTGATACCTGTGGACGACTTCCTTCTGTAGGACACTTGCTTCTGGCATTTGAGGTCCTCCTTGTGTATTGCTTCATCAGTGGCGTTTGTCTGAAAATAAAGAAGTACTTGTGAGCAGTGTGAACTCCTTAACTACAGTACAATCTTTGATCTGTAGTTTCCACACCGAGCGCTCGGCTTTTTTGAACTCTTGTCCACTGTCAAATGGCTAAGTATGAAAATGAACATGTCTGAACAGTGAGCTCCAGTGAGAATAACAAATGAAAAGGGAGTTCTCCATTTGAATACAGTGAGATATGATGTTTAGTTATGTGACGGCAGAGCGAATGTCCGACAAAAAAGTGCCAATTCCAGTACACTGATTGCTGAATGGTAATGATTACCTTGACATTCTCATCACGCAGGTCAAAGGTCAGCTCCAGGTTAGTAAGGAACTGGTCAGCAAACTCTGGATACATGTCAAGAACCTCCAAGATCTCCTCCCTCTGGATGGTGTGAAGGTCGCAGTAACTGAGGGCCCTGACGTCGGCACAGGATTTGCCCGGCTTGGAGAACAGGTGCATCATCTCACCAAAGATATCGTTTTTACCTACAGAAATAGCAGGGAAGGGCACAAGCGTATCATTTCTCATCTTTCACGGCTTTTTAAATTTCAGGGACAAGGTGGGACCTGAAACCAATCCCAGGATGGGTACACTCTGGAAAGTTCCCTAGTCCGCTACAGGGCCATATATGGAGACAAACAACCTTTTACACTTACATTAATCAATACTTGGTCTATGGGAGGAACCAAAGTACCTCAAAGACCCCAAAGATGAACAGATGAAATGTTTATTACATTTAATGACAAATAACCAAGCCTAAAGGTAAAAAACTGCAGTTTCTGTCTTGTGTTGTGTTTGTTTTGAAACAGCATTATGTGGTGAACATACAGTCCATCAGCGTTTAGATGCAGCTCAGTGACCCCACCTCGCCCTCTACGCTCAGTTAGTTCCTGTGCCAGCTGACAAAATCCATCACTGTTCACAGCCACAGATTAAGGGATGTCTTGGCACAAAGAGTGTAGATCAGGGGTGTCAAACTCATTTTGGTGAGGGGCCACATACAGCCTGATTAGATGTGGAGTGAGCTGGACCAGAACAACTGTAACATAATTACCTATAAACAACAATAAGTCCATGATTTTCTCCTTTCTAGTATTTTATCAAATATTCATATTAAAGAAAATATCAATTTACAAAATGTCAGCCCTAATAATAGGTCATTTACATAAGATAACCTTCCACTTTTTAGTGGTTTTTAATGTTTTAATAGTTTGTATGTATTTAATCATTTCTCATCTACCTCAAACCCACTGTGTTTTCCTCCTTTTCTCACCCCCCCCACATCCCCCCCTTCCTCCCTGCCTTAATTGTTAGTCCTTTTAGCCAATTCACACATCCTCTGTTAGCACAGCCGTAGTACATGGCCGTCCCCAATTTTTCCCGTCCTTTTCTTTCATCTCAGGCTGCAATCACTCGTCCCTGAAGTATGTTATTACATCCTGGCCAACAGGGTTCCTGGCTGCCAACCCAGACATATCACTGTACAACACAGGCTGTCAAGGTGAGTTCAGGCAAAGCCAGGTGAGCTGGAACAGCACTTATATGTGTCCTCCATGATTGTTTCTTAAATGGGTTCATCAACAGAATGCAGCTAGAAAGGCTCCGACGAAGCTGTTCAAGGTGAATGTGTTGGAGTAGCTCGGGTCAACCATGCTGAGCAGACTGAGAGGACGCTGAAGGGCAGAGTCAGGGTGATGTGATACAGAGGGAAAGGAGCAAAGAAGGTTTACCAGGGAATACATTACACAGTGACACTCTTGTAACTTCAGCCATCGATTGCAGACAAGGCAGCATTAGTGACATTAGCGTCTCTGGCTACTGTCAGCCACTGCAGCAACCTCATATCAGCCACAAACATCTGACAGATATGTCCTACTCTATAACATCCATTTGACATCAACATCTGATGCAATAAAAAAAATCCACTTTTTAGTGCAAGTGGGTTGTCACAGGTTAGCTTTCCATCATGTGCTTTGATAGATTTACCTCCTGGCATTTGTCCAAACCTGGAGTGGACACTGTGGCTCTGCAGGCACACAGGACAAGGGTCTTTGAAAAGGACAGCCGGAGAGTTACTGTCACCTCACACAGACGTGTTGCCATCAGTCACAGAGAACATGATTTAAAAACAGGAAGCAGGGGTGTATCCAGGAAGAACCACTGCTTCATTCTACGTTCCTTCTCTTGGTCTTCGTCTCTGGATCTTTAGATCGTGTATCTACTCAACATGGCCCTTAGAAAACCTCTCTGGGAAATGTCCAGAAAAGACACTGAAGGTCAGACACAGCCTAAACAGAACACCTCTCTGTTAGCTTTGGGACTTTTCTGTGACTTCATGGATGTAGTGATAGTGAGAACCACAGAAACCAGTATGGGTCAAAGTCAAAGGGAACACAACATGATTATATATTATAATTTATAATATAGTAAATAATAATTAGTCAATCAATAGCAGGACCTAATGAGGCGTTGAGAGGACTCACCCAAGATGGCCACCACCACATCATCTTTGAGGATTTCGATGGAACCACGAGAGACGAAGTAAAGAGCTGTCAGCACATCGCCACAGTGGACCAGGGTGTCACCAGGGGGCGCATGGGTGGTCTTGAACCTCATGGCTAATGCCCGGAGACAACCTTTTGTGGCTCCATCAAAAGCCTTGCAACCCTGTAGGAGGTTCTGGTTGAGGTGGAGGCAGATGTCTGCCTGCAGGCACTCAGGGAAACCCTTCAGGACCTGAATGTTGGATAACACATCGAGGGGTTTTTATGTGGTACACAGGAGGAGGTAAAATTTGAATTTGGATTTGAGGTTGCTCTTTGAACTGAATTGGTTTCCAAAGGAAATGCTACAATTGCCATTTGTGTTCTTTCCTTCTCTTCAAACCCTGTGACATCCTGCCGTACACACAGCCTATGAGCCGACCAAATACTTCATGTTAATGAACCTGAAGGCACTAATAAATGAGAGACATTACAGGACACTTATTTGACACTATTCTGTCTACATCCAATTATCTGACTAACCAACTAATTTTAAATTCTGTTGTAACTAAACGCAGTTTGTACACTGCCATGTATTTATATTTTCACAATTGTTCATTTTGAATTCCTTTTTTTGCTTAGGATAGAACATCTGTTTTTTTAAATATTATAATTATATTTAGTTACTATGTATATATTAAGTATAAGCTGATATAGATGGCTGATATGCATATAAAAATTTTATTTTTATATACGCATGCTTATTTTATTGATTTTGCATGCTTATTTTATTGATTGTTTTTTTTTTTTTCATATTACCAACTGCCTTTTTTGATATTCAGGAATGAATGAGCATTTGTCCACTGTGTCCAAAATTACAGACATTATTCCTTGTTATTGTTTTATTACATAAAAATGTATAGTGATGTTTTATCACAGCATACATATGTACATATATAATTTGCATAAAGTGGGGAATATTTCAAAATATTACACTATAGATATGGTTTTTCTGAAACATAATAGTGGACTGGAAACACACTTACCCTTGGAGACGGACGACACAGAGACCATTGACTAAGCTAATGATAACTGGACAACATGAATGACTGGGAAATCAAATTGCTTTTCTTTCAAACTTTGACACAGAAAATGAAAATTAAGGAAAGTGGGATTTTTTTTGACAGACAGCAGACATTGGCTTCAGAAAAACAAAAAGCATTTCTTGTTTTTTGTTTTTGTGAAGCCAATATAACGGACTAACGACAGGAGCACAGAGGGGGGAAAACAAGAGTGAAGGTGTTTATCTGGCTCTGACAGGTGTTATGTTCCCTACAACAACTGCTTAGTAGATTTTGAAAGGAAAGACTGAACAACAGTTGGCAAGTGCAGGTGCCACCACCAGGCAAGGAGTGGTGAAAACCTGGATATGACATGGTGGAAATTCACCCATGCACTTTGTCCCAAGTAAGGTACGTTGTGTTGGAAAACCCAGATTTCATGCAAAAGGGATCTTTTGGCACACAGCATGCATGTGAGCCAATGTCTGAGCAATACTCTGGGTTCAGAAATGTGAGTTAGCATGCCAGTTACTCCTGAGAATCTAATGGTTATGCTACACAGGTAGAGAAGATTGAGCAACACAAACCAGTGAGGCATTAACTCATTAATCAGCATGCAGGCTAGCACAGCAGCGTCATCATTGTTTAGGTCCAGTGTGTAACACTAAGACAGTATACAGTTCATCATCATACCCCAACGTACTGTACTCAGCATTTAGAGACTGGGCTGGTACAGGTCAACAGATGTGCAGCAAATGTCCCCACATTAAAAGATCACTTGACCCTCATATGCAATGCATTATGGGTCGTAGAATACCCTATCAGTATTTGAATGTCATGTATAGCAGTGGTCATCAACAAGTTTGGTACCAAGGACCGGTCGGCTGGTATCAGCCGTTACTGCTGACCGGTAATACTGCGCCATCAATGAAGGATCATTACATTTTCAATATCAAACTTCTTCTAGACTTTATTCTGTTGGTGTCAGAGTCTGAATGACCTATTGTTTTGAAACATTGCCAGATGAAATAAGTAAAGAGATATGACTGTTTTTTAGTGAATTAGTAAAACTGTAGTAAAAGTACATTTTTTACACTGTGTGCCACTGCGGCCTGGTACCAAATGACCTACTGACCTACGGGACCCCTGATGTATAGGGCTCTGGTTTAGCCAGAAATGTGTTTAAAACTTAAACTACAACTGGCCCGCTTTATGGGCTAAATATGGGCAACTGATTTTAAGACCAGTGTCTTAAACTGTATCTTATAAGTGTATCAGTTATCAGTGGATGTTGATATACAGTGTGCACACTGGTGTCCATGTGAATGACATCTCAGCGCTTAAACTAGACTAGACGCAGGCTACACACTTGAAAAGGGGACACTAGTGTCCACAGAACAAAACTGGTCCTGCCCAGAAATGGACCACACAACATTCTCTACTTGCTGATGAGAGTAAATTGTGGTCTTTGGTGGCCCACATTTGGTGTCCATGTGAATGACAATGACTGTAACCAAAGTTATTACTTTTTGTGTGTGTCAAAACTAACACATCCAGAGAGTGTTGTCTGACACATTAGGATGGTGCTACAGAGGAAAAAACATTGGTTGTGTCACACATGTACCTCCTGCTCTTACCAGAGTGGTGGTGCCATTCCATTAGACATGAGGCAGACATGAAAAAGACAAACTTATATAAGTGGCATACACAGTAGCACGGTAAAAACGACGCCACAGTTACTGCAGGCCATGTCAGAAGTAACTGTAGCCTTCGTTGGAATTATGCACATGAATTTAAATAGTGATGCCAGTGATGTGGTGGAACTGGTCCACAGTAACGAGTTAACAACATTTCTAAGGAACACAATTGTTGAGTCAGCAGACAAATGTTGATCCAAACTACAAATTCATACGAGTGAGTTTGCCAGAAAGAGAAAGCAAAAAAAAAAAGTACACTTCATTTTGTTGTTTTTGGAAACGCAAACTGCTTTCGTACCATATTCATGTCGATGCCATTGGTGTACGTCCAGGCGTGTTGGAAATACTCCTCCAATCTCTGCCTCAGTGGGTTTGGGATCTGGTGAAAGCGGATGAATTCTTTCACCCTCAGCATCTGGAGATGATACCGAGCCGTACCTGAATACAACCTCTGGATGATGGCCGACACGTTCCCAAAGATGCTGGCGTACATTAGAGCTGGGAGAGATGCCAGACAGACAGGTGAGTGTTGAGGTGGAGCAGCTGATTCTTCTGTTTTAAAGAAAGTATTTAGTATTTATTTACTGAGTTTTTACCCCTAATATTTCTAATTCCTACCCAGCCAACATGCCAATGTGGGACCCACGTGAGTTTACTTAGGGCACATGTTAGCATTGTAACAAGCTATAGATACCAGCAGTCGTCCTTTACTCACAATTCTCATGCAACATACAATTGTTGGCAGTGTAATTTCCACTTGTTAACTAAGAGCCTATGTCTGAATTATATTCAGTTTACAATACATTTTTTAATAAAATGTATAAATTATAAAAACTCTTCTGAGTTACTTTCTGTAACTGATCTCATTTAAATGCATTGCCAAACAGGCAGAAGGAAAAACTCTGCCGTCGTATTCGTGACGACTGCATTTTCACTCACATCCAATCAGCATGACGCAGATGGAGAAGATCTTTTCAGAGTTGGTGTTCGGGGAGACGTTCCCAAAACCTACACTGGTCAGACTGCTGAAGGTGAAATACAGAGCTGTGACGTACTTGTCCTTGATGGAGGGACCTGAGTTTGGATCACTGTAGTTGTATTTTTTTCCTGCAATTATTGGTAATTGAACAATATATATATTACAAAAAAGTATCAGTAATGAAAAGAGATTTTTTTCAGAAGGACAAAGAGAATAAAAGGATTACCTATGGACACACCCAGGTTGTCCAACCAGCCAATCTTGTGCTCCAGGTAGGGCTTCTCCATGTTGCCAATAGCGTACCAAATGCAGGCCAACCAGTGGGCGATGAGGGCAAAGATGCACATGAGCAACATGAGGACGGCTGCACCATACTCTGAGTAGCGGTCTAACTTCCGTGCAACTCGAACGAGACGAAGGAGACGGGCCGTCTTCAGTAGACCAATCAGAGTAGTTGTCTAAACAAAGAGAAAGTTGAAGTTAGTTTGTTTGCAGCAGTTGTTCTGGTGACTTATGTACACATATGCATTCGCTTTCACTTTTTGTTCGGCTCCCAGGGCCTCTCTGCTTTATATATATATATATATACATATATATATATATACGTGTGTGTGTGTGTATACAGGCATAGCTTTGCTACATTTTCTAAATAAGATAAAGCAAATAAACTACTTAAAGGAGTACAAGTGGCGAGCATTTTCATGGAAAAAAATGAAATAAGAATAATATTGGAGGCCAGTAAATAATAATAATATTAATGATAATAACAATAACAACAATGATAATAATAATAATATTGGAGGCCAGTACAGCAAAAGAGTTGATTCAACATTGCTTCAATAAAACAACAACAATGTCTAATATGCAGCTGAATTTAGTGAAATAACTAAGTACCAGCAAACATGTTGGTACAATTAGGTTCCACAAGCAAGGACAAATAGCTAAGATGAACCAAAAGAGTCCTTAGAAAAAATAATCATAAACAGCAAGAAAAGCTAGCAGAGTTGGCCCAGAAATCCATAGTACATTCATTTTTGTTTGTGACTAAATAAATAAATCATCTCTGGTTGTTCCCAGGATTAAATGGAAAATTATATTTAAATTCTGGGTTGGAGCAAAAGCCCATTTATTTGCAAACACTCCCAATAAAAACACACCTGGCTCAGGATTGTTGACATGATAAACAAATCACTTAAATGATACAATGATATGAAAATCACAGCAGCTCAAAAAGCTTCTGTATGAAAATGACTTTTCCATCTGACAGTCTGCGGTGCTTCAGAGCTTAAGTCTTTTAGATAAAACATCAAATTGCTTTGTTTCTAATTCAATCAGGAGGAAAGAAATACTTTCATATCTGCTGTCTCCAGGCAACAAAGGTTCATGAGATGATTTCTAAAAATAGTCCCTGTCTCTGCTCTGAAAGCTAAAATAAGTCAGCTGGACTGAAAGGCAGCTAAAAGTAGTCACTGATGTGTTCCTTCCAAAAATAAATGAGTGTCTGTGAGCTGCTGGAACAGGGAGAAACTTCTACTGTCACTGCACCAGTGTCTCCACTTTTTTTTCCACCAACTGTGCCTCACTCCCTGTTGTTTGCCTGAGCTATTCTCATAAACACACACAGGATTCAAAAATATATATAAAAAAGTGTCTGGTGAAGTGACAGTCACACGTCCCCGACGAGGAGCGGTATTGAAATGGACCTCAGTCAAAGACTGATGAGATGGTTTTTGGCCTACACCATCATGCAAATCAGTCACAAAACCAGGTGGCCATCTGCCTCCATTATTTAAATACAATTTGACTGCCCCCAAAAATCTTTTCAAATTTGTTTTCCATCACTGACTGCCATCATCTCGAGCATAAATCTAGAGTCTAAGCTTCATCATCATCATCATCATCATCATCATCATCATCATCATCATCACCTTCATCATCATTAATTTTCCTGTCCCGTCTGTCCTGCCCTTTGCCTCCTCTAATATTAAACCAGTGGTTCTTAATTATTTTCTGTCATGCCCCCCCCATGGGGACATGTCCCCCCATGACCCACACTACTATTGAGAACCTGATAACTTGTATATTTCTATCTGTACAAACCACTGTATGAGTTGCTGCCACCTAGTGACTGGAGGCTTGTTATGATTCAAGCATTACAGCAGTGAGACACCTATGTCCAGCGTGCCAAAGGAAGCCCCTCAGGCCCTCAGGCCCCTCAGCACCTCACCCCCCCCCCCCCCCCCCCCGGGGGGGGGGCCCGCCCCTCTATTTGAGAAGTACTCTATTAGACCAACCAACTCCATATCTGTTATGTCCTTTTCAGCCAATGACTGCCTCTGTCCAGTGTCTCTAGTATCTGTCCTCAGAAACATGTCCAAGCTACTGATGGGAGACTCTGTAGTATCGATATATATCCATACTCATACCAGAATCGATACTACATAAAATAATCACACAAAATATCGATATGGGCCAAAAAAGTAATCTGTATCGTATCAAACCAAAAACATCTGGGATCGCTCATCACAGGTCCAAAGCATTTCAGACTAACCTTCTCCTTATCTGACCATCTGCTCAAGTCAGGACCACAGGATTTTGGACTTATTTGCGACTTTCCTATTGCAGGGACATGTCATTACTGATGTGTTGTACCCTTGCTCTACCGTTCATTCTGTCCACCATGGACACACCCAGTAATGATAATAACGTTGTCATTATAAGACCAACCTGCTGTCTCTTGAACAGGGACAGCGTCTCTAGATTACACATGCTAACAACAAGCCTGAGAGTGAGAACCTTTTTCTTACCTCGTCCGATCCTGAGCCAAAGATGAGCAGGTCAAAGGGAATGGCCGCCACCATGTCTATGAGGAACCAGCCTTTGAAGTAATGGATGGCGATCTTTGAAGGGTGGCTGACCACCTCCTCGTTGTTGTTGACATATGTGGTCCTGAAGTTTATGAGGATGTCCACGATAAACATGATGTCCACGATCAGGTCCACCACGTTGAGTGGCGAGCAGGAGTAGCCACATTCGCGTCTCCTCTGCTCCCCGATGTCGTTGAGGAGGAAGGCGGCAGAGTAGGGTGTGAAGATGGCTGTGTAGATGACGAGCAGCAGGATCAGCCAGTCCCACACAGCCTTGAAGGGGCTGTAGTGGAGGATGGTCCACTTGTCGATCCGTGGGGTCTGGAGCTTGTACTCTGGTAGAACATCTGCACCCAGAGACAAAACCTAAGGAGGACAAAAGTTGAACACTCTTATCTTGTCCTGCTTCCTACAACATTTACGAAAGGTTTCAAGTGATCTCTGAACGCTTGAAACCTCAGGAGAAGCAGAAGGCTAACACAAGATGGTGTCAAATTGTGTTGTAGGAAATTTAAGATCCAGCATGAGATTTTGAGGTTTCCTCACCTTTTCCTAGAGTAATTACGTCCTGCTTCTTCTGCTCCAGCGTTAGCCTAGTTTTTAGCTTTTTGAGCTAAGTTTGTTATACTTTGGATTTTTCTCTTACCTTTTGGAATGCCATAGGTAATAATTTCTGTTTTATTTATAAACTATATATATTATAACTAACTACTTTCAGCTAGATGATCTTAAGTACAACAAATTACATCATGACAACAAAACTGGTGAATGTCCATGGATAGAGAGTTTTTGATATTCTTCTGAAACTGTATTGCAAATACACAAGTCATTTTCAAAAGATAATAATTAGTAGAAAAAATATTTTTATCAGTATTTTTTTCATTTTTATTAATTACTAGACATGAGGTGACCCCATTTGAATTTCAGGTAACCCGACATGGGGTCGTGACCCCAAGATTGAAAAACACTGACCTCAATTTCAGATGTCCAATTTACCTTATCCTCTAGGGTGCACGGAATCACGTCTAGCATTTTATTTTAAGGTGGAACTGATTTTACTCTCACTCCTGCTCTATGTAATGACTTTTCTTCTGTCAGATACAGAACAAAAACTAAACTGCAGACACTCGGCTCTTTACAAATCCATGCTTTATTAGTTTGTTGTGAAACTGAGAGAGAGTTTTTATTCCTTCATATCTGCCTTAAAAAAAAAAGATTTATTCGTTGTTACCCCCTTGGACCTTTGATACAGAAAGGCTTGGAGTTCGTTAGTGATTATATTTCCACAACTATCTCTTATTATTTCGTCTCCTCTGGTTTGTCTGAAGCTCAGTGTAAAGAAAAAAAAATCCCGGCTTGGCTTCATTAAAAAAAAAAGGATGAGTGTGAACGGAGAAAGAGATCAACAATAACCCCTGATGTGACGGTGCGGACCCAAAGACACGATGAAGAAAGTGTAGAAGCGTCGGTGTTGATTTGCAAACCCTTTTATACCAAACAATGTAATAAGCCACGCTCCATGTCACGAGAGAGAGAGTTCATTTTCACCGAGTGCACTTAGCTGCTGTAGCCCTGATTAATTATTAAGATGGAATCTTTTATTTAGAAACAGATTGGCTACAACGTGGTAATCCACAATGGTCACCGTGCCAAGCAGACTTCCCAGCATGCCGAGGCGAATGTAGTGAAGTGTGTGATGCAGAAAGCTGTTCATGTTAACGTTTCTTTGAGCGTAACCTTTGCAGGCATTACAGCAGGTCACAGCACAGGAAGGTTTCTTTTTTTTAAAATAACATTCATATTTGTCATGATTTGTTTTTGTTTTTCAACTAAGGCATAAACATAAATATCATGCAGTGGTGTCGGTGATTTCTAATGAAGTGACATCAGGATGAATAATTGAGTGTGTTCCCCTTTTTTTTCTCTCAACCTTTGCTTTCTGATTGATTTCAAAGGTAATCCCATATCACGGGCGTGAAAGCGCTTGACTCTCACTATTGCCAAAGGCCAGGGGTTTCTTATAACCAACTTAATTATTAACACTTTAGCTGCAGCGTCTCTGACGTTTCCTCCATGTCATCTCATCTCACACTTAGAGGTTATGAAGGTGATGAATTTCCATTAGAATCAGGATAAATTTAACAATCCACAAATGGTTAGAAAGACTACATGCTAAATGTTGAAAACCTGAAAGGAAATATGGAACGCTAAGAGATACACAGGAATGTGTATTAAAAAGTTGGCGGAAAATATAGAAACAGTGTAAATAAAATAACTGCTGATATGACCAAATACAACTACATCCAGGTTAACAGAGTTAGCAACACACACGTGTTTGAGATAGAATATGGATGTTTTCTATATACTGCTGCCCCCCTGTGGATCAATTAAGTATTTCTAATTCTGAACTAGCTAGCTTAGCTAGCAAAAAAAGTAAAACGTATCAAAGACAGGTACATTTAGCCAAAGGGTAGCCATACTAATGATTTCTTTACACAAGCAAAATGTTGTCCAGCTAAAGATTAAAGAGTCTCGGCAGGAAACAGTTACTGTTAGACCAAAGGTTTGGCTAAATCTGGTCAAATGTTCCAGCTATATTTAAAAAAAAACCTGCAGGAAAATGAAGGTTGAATCTGTCTTCAGGGTGAGGCCCTGATCTGGGTACTAAACCAAAACCTAATCACTGGTCTGGACTATCACTGGTTCACTCCTGTGGCTCCAGTTACTTACAGCCACTGTCTGCCCTCAGCCCTGGCAGGGAAGGTGACAATGACCTCTGACCCTCTGTCTGTAACTCTAGTAGAGTGGACTCTGTGCAGCACTAGTTAAAGTGATTATCAGTCACCAGAGACAGACACCGCTGCTGTTTAATGCATAACAACCACAAGTTTGTTAATGTGTCTGTGTGTGTCTGTGTGTCTGTGTGTGACACAGATAAGGTCAGCAGTCAGTCTTCTTCAACACAGAATAAGACTCCATCCATTTTGCCGAGATGGTATTTCTCTCTATAAAGTATCTCCTACTAAAGTGCAGAGATATTTAATAAATATAGGTCTTAATTAAAACACTCCAGTTGCTCTGTTGCAAATTAGTTGAAATGTTATATTCTGCATTTTGTAAAGCACATAATTTCATTTTAAATTCTTGGTCTGGAATAATCTCACCATAACAGGAAGACATGAATTAAAACCTCCTGAATACTTGATCAAAAACACAGATTGTGCTGCTTTATATAGGTATATGGTAACAATTAAGGACGGCTCGATGTTCAGGATCGTTATCAGTCTGATAATGGTCAGAATCACAATAAAACAGCAACAATAATCTTTCACTTTACCTGCGTGACCTTGTCGGTGACATTGTGCGTGCGATCCTTGACCTTTGGCGCGATGATGGTTTTCTCAGAGGACGGAGGGGACGGACACTTCTTGTCATTGGTGGTCTCGGAGAAGTTAAGTGTGATGAGGGGGATTTTGTTGATGGTGCTGTACTTGTTAAGGTTGGAGTCTGAGGTGGAGCCAAGAAGACTGGACTTGATTTGGCTGAGAGGACCTAAAAAGGAGAGCGCAAGAAGAAGACAGATGTGAATGTCTTTTTCAACACCCCCTCACTATGATTATAGTGATTATAGTTATAAGAAATTAGTCAAAAATAAAAACAGTACAAACTATGAAAGAATCAATGAGATAAATTAATAAACAATCAAATATAAACATAAATGGACAGAAAATCTTAAATAATGGATGTAAAATACATTAATACACAAAACAGAAATGGATTAAATATATACGATATAACTCCCAAACTAAAATCAAGCAAAGAATCAATAACACATATTAACAAAAATACTAAGAAGTATAAAACATGAACACTTTAATTTCTAGAAACAAAAATAATTGGTTTAAACCCTGTTTCTGTAATTTGCTGAAGAAGGTGAAATACAAAAGTGAACATAAACCTCCACAGCCTCCATGTTATCAAGTATAAGAACTGCTGATTCAGCCTTTTCAAACAGTACAGCGCTGTGATTGAGAGTCAAGGACAGAGAAACAGACAGCAGAGGATGAGATATCGCATGTCCAGCGTTAAATGCATGCCACAGGGAGCGGGAATGGTCGCAGTCATGGAAGGACTAACTTAGAGATGAGGAAAGAACAAAAAAAAATGCTGAAGCCATACCCCCAGCCATCCAGGAACGAGATACTAGCAAACCAGGAGAGAAAAGAAAGAGGAGGTGAAGGGTACACAAAAACAGTACATCAAATCACATTATAGCAGTACACAGGAAGTAAAGCCACCTAAGAATTGCGGGAGTAAATATTGGAATTATTGAACAAATGACTGTTCTTCGCACTAGCTATTTTGTTTAACAAAACTTTAACTTTAGGTCGCTCAGCCATGGAAATACAACGTGACATGGACGTTAATGTTTCTTTAAACACGACTGCCAAGCTGGAACACCACATGAATAACTTTACCCCAGTAAGAGGAGGCTCAGCAGTAAAATCTACCACCGATTTTCATTTTTAGCCTTTATAGCCAGTAAACATTGAGTTTGGATCGGTTGTTTTTCGAGAAATATTGGACATTTGATTGTTCTGCTTGGGTTTGGATATTATTTCTGAGGACAAAGTTACTGTGACAACTGCAACAGTAAAGTCAAAACCAGTCTATTTGTCCATTGGTCAGTAAAATGCTCATCCATTGGATAAATCCAATCGATGATAGATCGCAACTGCCTGCAAAAAAGCTTCCTTTTTTGAAGAAAACTCCTTCGTTGGGAAATCAAGACAGTAACGGTGAGTTCCCACAAAGAAAGCTCTCCCAAGCATCAGATTCCTTTCTTTTCAGTACACATATTTAATAAAAAGGCCCTCGCATACATCTGTTTGGTGATGAAAAAAAGCTCAAATTCATTTAGACCGCAGGGCCTCACCTGTGTTGTGCCCCTACTAGGGTGTTGATCCCGGGCCTGATCGGTTGTTTAATTTTAAAATGAAAACCCTGTTATTACAAACCAATCTTCTATTTGTGTTTGTAAGATTTTTCTCAATGGATTTCTGATATTTGTAGAGCCTGGATAACAAATATATTATTATTAAGTCTTAAGAGTAAACCTGGGACATTATATTGAGGACATTTGTGACATTTGTACATGATGGTGGGAGACTATCAACCCCTGAACTAAAACATCACATCATTTTAACCTCAACACAGACTCTAAAGTTGAATAAAACCTCCTAAATCCTAGCTTTTAATTTTAACTAAATGTTTTACATTTTACAACACTTAAAGAGGATCAGCACAGGGAGATTTTTTGAAACAAGACAAGTAAGTAAAAAGTAAAGGAGAAAGAAGGTGGTGGTTTGGTGTTCAGAGTTGAACAGAAAAGAACTGTTTTTATTTGATAGTAATTTAACTAAACTGTAAAATAAAAAAACTGAAATGTGTATGTAGTGAACTATGATGGCATGGTTTCTCTAAAGTGTTTGTCTCTAAGATGTCAGATGTTAGAAATGAGTGATGAATTACAGGCTAGCGTTAGCAGTAGCAACACGTAGCCTTGAATGACGGCAAGGTTTGGCAGGAAGATTTAAAACTATATTTTAAATGGTCTAAAATGCCTCAGTAACTTCATGTTTGTTAAATGGTCATTTATAGCCCGTCGGTATCATTTTTCTGATGCTTCACTGACTTTGAAGAATAAACGCAGTTGAGGCTTGAATGTATTGCTAGCATGTGCAAAGGTCACTGCGTTTTTCATTTTGCTAATTCTTCCCCTCAGGTGACTGGCTAGGACTCAGCTGGTCATGTGACCTGAGGCTGCGCACGTTTGTCAGTCGACCGACCAGGCATTCACTCCGCATGAACTTTCAACTCTTGTGATGTGCAAATGTCATGCAGCAGGCAGGCTCGATGCAGTGCACATGGAGGGATGCGGCAGGCTGCCATTTGTTACCTTTGATATTGCGGCCGTTGTCTGTAAAAGATTATTAAAAGAAGGAAGACAACAGGGAGTAAAATATGAGAGGAGGATTTTCTTCAAATGAAGGCCCATCATTATATCAGCAATTATCCATGAAACCAGAGACACGTTACTGTAGATGTGTTATTGTGTGAGTCATAGGGATGGAGGTACTGCGTGTTTGCAGGGAAGATGGTGATGGACTGATGAGCTTGGAGACAGCTGCACTACCCTGAGGTGTTTCCACCCAAAGACAAATGAGGACCAAGAGGCTAATGAGTCATTTTATCATCAGTAAGCTCCATAACCCAAAACCTAAATCATGGCTGGCTATAATTCTGAAAGAGAAATGGGCCCAGTTTAAAGTCACCAGGCCCATATGCAACACAGTCTTGAAGCCTTTCAGACTGTGAGCCACATGTTGGGCACCAACTGGGACAATAAGTGGGGCCCATATCAGATTCTAAAGGCTCTCTAGCACAGGCTTGGGCAAACTGTGGCTCGGGGTGAGATACAGCCAGTTAGGCTTTTTAATCTGGCCCACTGAACTTGTCGCAATTATTTTACTGAATTTTCCCACCATTAAACTTCTGTAATTTTAGCCCTTTCAACGCAATGCCCGCATTTCCCCAACACATGGTACACTGCAGGGTAACATGTATTGAAATGGGAGAGTTTTAAATAAGAAGTGGACAACAAAATATATTCCACTGAAGTCTGACTTTGTCTGGTAAGAGAGAAAATGTTGCAGAACTCAACACTTTATCTATTTGCTCTGAGCCTGGCCAGTGATATTGGTGATGTTTTTAGAAAATAATAGCAACAACCTGCACATTTTGCTGCACGGATTAATCGTCTGGCCCAAAATGAATCAGGATGTACTGGGGTTATCAAAAAACCCCAAACATAACTGAAAACCCGATGGCACATGGAAGACAGCTATTTTGCAAAAAGCTATAACCAGACTTTCATACAGGCAGGTAGTCCAATCAGCCAGATACCGTTTAGGGACGTAAATATACAACCCCACGTAGAATCTTACCTTCACTGGCATGTCTGTCTCTGAACACCATCTTGGACTTGAACCCAAACCCTTCCATATCATGTACAGAAGAGGCTCTGCGAATACTGCACACACTCCCTCCGGAGGGGGTTGGAGTGAGACCAGGGATCGATGGAACAGTGGTTAATGTGTCCTCCTGGTTCTGGTTCTGGTTCTGGTGTTGGGTCTGGTGGAAGGCTTGTTCCTGGTATATCCTACTACAGGGGCCTTTGGGTGAAGAATGGTCCAGAGGCCCAGACACAGGAGTTGAGCAGTGGCTGGGGCCAATCAGGGCACGGGTGTCATTGGCATAAGAAGGGCTGCAGCTGTCACGGGTGGCCGGGAGTTGGTAGTCGTGCGTGGCCGCGGAGCCATCGCTGTGACGAGGGGAGTCCACCATGACGGCGTCAGGGTCTTCCTGTGGCAGAGACTGCTTGTTGATACCCGGAAGAGGTAAGGATGGGAAGCGAAAGCGGAAGAATTTTCCTTTTCCTGAGCCAAAAAAAGGACTTATATTATTGAGTGAAACAATTAGAATATTGACCTACGTGTTAAATGATTAAGGCCTCACTCCTCAGAAGAATCTAGGCAGCTCTGTGTCAGTGCAAAAAAAGATAATACCTGACAGAAGAAGAAATAAATACTAACTAAAAGTCAACTGATGGAAAATTCAAAGTTTTAATTCATTTTAATCAATATTAGATTAATACATTTTTTAAAAGTAGTTCAAAATAAGACTGGATTATAATATTAAGCAAGTATACGTACTTAGAAACCTTGAATTTAATCAAAGGAAATGAATGAATTACATGCAGTGTTTCAGTGCTGGGTTGTCACCGACTTTTTTCACAAAAACCCCTCTTAATATCCCTGCTGACATTTCTACTTGTAGCCTCCAAATGTAGCTGCCTCTAAAAAAAGACCCTGGCAGATGAAAACGAATGCCTTTTCCACCTCAGGCACAACTTCAATCTCCACATCTCTTCAATTATTCATGAAACAGGACATTTTCAGAGAGATTAGAATGGTAATGGGGCATCGATAAGTCAGCCCTTTAAAGATTTGCACGCAGGATTTTAATAAGTGGTTTTTGGGAGTGATCTTTATGATGAATTGTCGGATGATGTGGAGATTTAATGCGCCTTAAGGCAAAGAAAATAACACTTATTACAAGTTGGCTTTTAATCTGTTCCCTGAACATGTAGAAAAAAGGGAGAGTGTCATCTGTCAAAGTCACACACACAGGATTTCACATATAGGCTGCAATTCCCTGCCTTCGTGCTGTGAATCATTTAGTTGACGAAACATACGCTGTTCTATACCAATCCCAGTGTTGCCACAGGGTGTCAGAAGCACACACACAAACACACACACTACCAACCACCTCCTGACTGTCCTTTACAAACCTGGTCCAGTCCAGTTGGGTCATCTCTTTTGGCAAAGCCACTAACCAGTAATGGAGGTAATCTTGGACTTTCACATAATAAATGTCTCTACATGGCAACTGCTTTATATTGAGTTTTTCCAGCTTGAACTACTACGAAAACCTTTTGGTAATTTTGACATTTAGATTTATTTTGGTTTGTCTTTATTTGACATCTTACTGCTGTAATGCATCGTTCCTCCCGGACCAAAACCTCTCACCACAAAAACAGCTTCTTCCCATCTGCTATTAGCCCTGTCAACAGACAAAAAGACTCTCACTGACCCCCCCATAACCCCTCCCAAAAGGTTGTATATTCTCTACTATTCTGTAAATGTCCACCCATAGGCATGAATTTATTTTATCAACATTTGTATACCTTTGTATACCACAACAGATTCCTTGTAGGTGAAAACCTGCCTGGCAATGAAAACGTTTCTGATTCTATAATGTGTGTGTGTGTGTGTGTGTGTAAAAACTAAAAACAAAAGCAGGCTGCATGTTTGAAGGTACAGTTTGTACCAGTTTGCTTTGATTTTCATCATCTTCATAACGCTTTAGTGCTTGAGATTAAATATATTTTGCTTTTAACTATGTTTCCAAAGGAGGTGTCAACCTTCTTCTGATTAGAGTTACAGTATATCTATAAATTGAACCGGGCACTTCACAGACACACTTTAGTTGTGTGTGTCTCAACCCCGGAAGACCCACTTGGTCGAAACTTGGTCGAA